CCTTCTTACTTCAATCAAGTAGAAGTACACTTAGTTCTACTTTATCTTGGTCCTCATAGGTGGCGATGCACCTGCAACCTTTACGACGTTGCTAATGTAATCACTTTTTTGGAACGAAGTTCCTTATCGGATGGTACGAATTTGGCGGATGGGGGAAAGGCGCGAAAAAGTATAAGATTTTTCCGTCACGACCCCTTTTGTCATAGTGCAGACGGCCTTGTCGGCTATAAGGAAGCGAAATGGAATAATATCTTTCTCCCTCGTACCTTTTCTTATCTTGCCATGAAAGAAATATTACTTTATTTTAAATAACCTTTCATTTTAATAGACGCTAGTAATCAATTTATTTGTATTTGTTAATCAATTATATAATATGTTTATCAATAATATTATACTACGAAAGGAACTCGTTCCAACCGAGTGTTCCACGAAACTCACGCATTTTTTATCTATATAAATACAATGATAGAGGTTTGCAGTTGTGCGCGCACGGAAAAACTACTGGATAGATTTCCATTAGGTTTTCTAAGTTTTATTTCTTAGACGCTTGGCCCTTATAAAAAAAAAATATTATTGCGTTATTAAAGTTTTAAGAAACAAAGATTTTTGTAAGCACTATGTGTTCAGTGATGTGTGTAAGCAACGCGAACGAAGTCGCGGGTAACAGCCCGTATTAAATAAGTGTGACAAACGAACAAAAAGCCCAGTCTTCGGTAAAAAGGGTCTCTCGTTCTCTACACTCACTATAACAAACACTGCTGCATTAAGATATTATTTTACGCTGGTATTCTGTTGGAGTGTGGTCCTTCCTCGGTCGAACCGACCCATTCGTGCTACCACCATAATATAGCTGCAGCATGGCTCTACCAAAAATAAAAACAAAATATAGTACAACATATACATACTACATTTAAAAATATATTGTAATCAAAATATTGTACAATAGCAATTTTAAATAATACGATAAGCGATGCTATGCTAGACGTAATAATAGTTATTCAGCCGGCGCAGGACGAAGAGAAATCTAGGCCGACTAGATCTATATCCTCGATGATTGGAATGAAGCAATACAATCTTGCGGATGGGCAATAATTTGATGTGCTTACAAAACTATGTTCCGGTTCCTTTGCTTGAATTAAGTCTTAGTTAACAAACAAAATTGTAAAGTATAATTAATATACCTATAAATATTGTGTTCATGTTATTGTAAGGTACGTGAGCCACTCAGAAAGTTATGCTGAAAAAAAGTTCTATGGTGAAAGTTTTTATTATTAAATATTTTCAAAAAAATCTCCATCAGCATCTTTGTTTTAATTAAATTAGGGTGACATACGAGCACACAGTCCACCTTATGGTAAGTGAATGCTGTGGCCCATAGACATCTACATTTATCATGGATTAAGAATCAAAATGCAGATACGTTGTCACCCCTGAGAACTAAGATGGAATGCCTTGTTTTCAGTAAAAAGAGTCTCCGGTTCTCTGATGTGTTTCGTATACTCATCATACGAAACACAGCAGTTTTAAGCTGCTATTTTACGCTGGTATTCTGTAAGAGCGTGGTTCTACCCCGGTCGAGCCGACCCATTCGTGCTACAACCATAAAAAAGCTGCAACGTGGCTCTACCACGTACAAAAATTAATAATCTTTACAAAGTTTCATGCATTTGAACCAATTTTCGAAACATGTTTTCCAATTCGCCTGCATTTCAGCGAAAAAATCTGTATACCTTTAAGCCATTTTATTTTTATTTTAGGGAATAAAAAACAATTACATGGTGCCAAATCAGAGCTCTTAGGACGGTTTTACAAAAGCTGAACCGGTGTGCCGTCCAGGTAGTTTCTTGTTTTGGGCGCTAAGTGCGCAGAAGGGTTGTCATGGTGAACGCAGAGCCTCCTGTTCGGGCGCGTGTTGCTCACACCGTAGGACAGTTGTAAAAGCATATTTCTGATGTAAAAAAATAACATCTTTTATACCTCGTCAAATTGAATAAACTAGCGATCAAAATCTCGCCTGCGCTTATCGTTCGCTTCAGTTTGGTAACCTAGTGAACAGTTGACGAAGATGAACATCGGAGCACCTGTTTTATTGCTTCCACTAATAGTTCGCAATTCGCATGCACAAAATCCTTAACATACAAAATCACATCACTTTTAAGTATCATAATTTAAAATTTAAAATTTTGACTTCAATATAAATTATTATGAATAACTTAAAAACTATTGCTAAGATCTTGATCAAATTTATATATGATCAAATGTGAAGCACCAGGTTTCAAATAAAAAAAGAATCATCATCGAAATCGGTTCACCCAGATAAAAGATATGAGGTAACACACATAAAAAATACACACATAAATACAGTCGAATTGAGTACCGTCTCCTTTTTGAAATCGGTAGAAAATTTATCTTTAAACCATTAAATAAAAATAAAACAGGAACAAAAAAACTTCATTAATAAGGCTATTATTATTGAAGAAAAGAAATTGGCCATTGTTATACAAACATGATATATATCCCATAACAAATACTATTGAGGTGTGAAATTTAGATCACATACCATTGGCAGCAGCTTGCTTCGATTCATTTTCTTTAGGAATTTAATCAAGGTCGCCGTGCTTTTATTATATTATACAAATAAATAAAATTGAAGTGTCTGTTTGTAATGTTAATATAACTGCTTTATACTAAATGCATATGACAGTAGTAGAGCCACGCAGCAGCTTTTGCTGTCGCACGGATGGGCCGGCTCGAACCGGGGTGGTACTACGACCTCACAGAAAACCAGCGTGAAGTAGAGGTTTACCTCTGCGTTTCACTTGGTGAGTGCAGGTGGCCGGAGGCCCTTTTTATTGGAAATGAGGCATTCCATCTTAGTCCTCACAGGAGACAACGCATCTGCATTTTGATTTGTAACAGATGATAGATGTAGACGTCTATGGGCCGCAGCAACCACTTACCATCAGGTGGACTGTGTGCTCGTTTGTCACCCTTATCCTATAAATAAGTATATAGGGTAATAATAACAAAAAAAAAGTCTTTTTGTCTGTTTGTTCCGGCAAACCTCCGAAGCGTCAGTAGCCTAATGGGAAGGCGCGGACAGCGAACTCAAAAGGACGTGGGTTCGATCCGCCATTCGACTACTGTCATGAACCACATCTAACACAAGCATTTTAAGCTTACCAGAAGTGGTTAAAGGGAATAGTAGTAATGTTTAATAGTATTACTAGTATTATATTTATTAAAAAAAAAACGGCTGAACCGATTTTGACGGGACTTTCACTGACAGATAGCTGATATTATATGGAGTTACTGAGAATACTTTTATTTTAGAAAAAGAATTAGGGTTCCGCGCAAAAAAATAAAACCCATTAAATCGTAGTAAATTCCACGCGGGCGAAGTCGCGGAGAACAGCTAGTTATGAATAATGTACTATGACAGTACTCATTCCCCCCCCCCCCCCCCCCCCCCGGACTATGGGTGCTGTCAAGTGTTAGAAACGTCGGGAATATAAAAAAGTAGTTTTATTTAAAATATTCTATATTTTGTTATTTCTAACCGATTAAACTTCCGTGGACGACGTGTTAGTGTTACCAACGGAAATGGATCTCTAATGAGTAGTGGAATGTAACGAACCTTTATTTTCGTATTTGTTAAACATTTTTTTCAATACCAGACTAGTGCTAATCTATACAAATAAATAAAATTGAAGTTTCTGTTTGTAATGTCGAAATAACAACTTTTTACTATATACATATGAAAGTATATACGGTACTTATAACAAAAACACGATTTTTAAAATTTTTGTCTGTCTGTCTTTCTGTTTGTCTGTCTGTTTATTCCGGCTAATCTCCGAAAGGGCTGGACCGATTTTGACCGGATTTCCACTGGCAGATAGCTGATATTATGAAAAGTAACTTTGGCTATTTTTATTTTAGAAAAAGAATTAGGGTTCCATGCAAAAAAATTAAAACCCATGTAGTCCAATCGTAATAAATTACGCGCGGGCGAAGACGCGAGGCTGTTCCCCGCGTCTATTGGAAATATAAAAGTGATACCTAAAAAACTTTTTGTAATTTGTGCAATTTTTATATCTATTGATAAAAAACTAATCCGTTGGGCTATGTCGGGTACCCTGATTCTACTGCGGATACCCTCGTTTCGTAGTCGCCGGCCATATAGCTCGAAGAACAGACAACTGATGGAGAAGAAAGGTCCTCGTATCTTCAGACGAAGTATAGGGCGTCCCCCCACTAGATGAAGTGACGGGCATGCAGCATATATGCTTGAGATGCCATTTGTATACAATTCATGATTATCATTACAGCCCACAATAAGTCCATTGCTGAACACAGGCTTTCCCTATAGATTGCCATAAGGTACGGTCTTAAGCCACCTGCATCCATCGACTCCTTGCATTTACAATATTTGTGTTACTTACACTAATTTTAATAAACAAATAAAATTACTGCTTCTATGCTTGTGTAATGGCATATAAGTCAAAATAAATCGTATGCTTGACGCTTTTCTGGAGTTACCACGGCTCATGAAACCTACGATACAATGTACTATGAAGTGACTCCCGGTTTTGATGCTTAACACTGCTGTGTTTCGTATGATGAGTGTAGGAAACCGGAGACCCTTTTTACTGGAACAGAGGCATTCCATCTTAGTCCTCACGGGTGACAATGCATCTGCATTTTGATTCGCGAACGAGGATAGATGTAGATGTCTATGGGTCTCAGCATGCACTTACCATCATATGGACTGTGTGCTCGTTTGTCAACCTTATTGTATAAAAAAATGACAAACGTGATGTCTGCTACACACAGTAGAACAGGGTAGCACGTGGCTATTGCCATCCTAAAAATTTACTCTCGCTTGTCACTTTATTTTATAAAATAAATAAACACCTTCAGCGTAGTCAAATACTGTGACTATCAGGCCACTCGTCACATACATGAACCATCATTATAGTCTATTTTGTTTTCTTTTACAGACGTCGCGCAGTCACTCTGCGTGCTGGAATCGGATTTCGGTTTCAAAATCAACTGCGCCTTTAAAAAGTCCGGCCTGTTCAGGGTTCGAAACCTTGGCGGTATCAAAGCTCATGCTAGTCTAGGTAAGTTTATTTATGATTTTACATTTAGCAATTATAGATTTAATATAGACCTTTCAAGTGGTAACAATAACAATGTCTCGATCTCTGTCTTCATTTGATTCGTTCTAAAATATTTAAGAATATTTCATCGCTCTCTTTTTTCAAAAACTAAAGTATTAAACAACTAACAGTCCACCTGGTGGTAAGTGGCTACTGGACACATGAAACAAACTTTAAACCAAGTTTAAACAAATGGAGGTTACAGGTATAATATAATAATGATCTCCAGACCGAGTTACGGCTCCGTGGCGCAGTTGCTTAGCAATCAGTTGTTGCGCTGGAGGCCGCGGGTTCGAATCCCGCACGGAACAAGTATTTGTATGGCCTACAAATAATTGTTCCGGGTCTGGATGTTTGTCCTTGTGCAATTTATGTTTGTAAACTGCCTCCATGACACAGGAGAAAATCCTAGTGGAGGTAACGTTTTTTAAAAAAAAATTCTTTAATTTGCATGACGATCGGGCTTCTCTATTCTCTAAGGTAAATTTAAAATGCAAATTAGCATCGGCTAACGTGCATAGCTTTTTTTATGTGACTGTATCTCTGCTGTGATTTATATATACAGGCACTTTTAATGACAAACGTTAATCTTGTAAATACTTGCCTCAAAATTTACCTCCTACTATACGTTAATATTACTCTTATTTGACAACATCGAGCAAAAATAATAATAAATGATAGAAATTCACTAACCTTTTCAATGATGTGTGTTTACTGCCATTGCTAAGCAGTTTATGTTTGGGTTTATCATGGGCTCCAGTTGGGGTCGAGGGTGATATCGTAAGATCGCTCGCGAAGGAGTTCGTCGAAGAATCCTTAGAGATGTTGCTCCGAGCCTTCCTTACAGTTGATTCAGGGCTCCTGGGACTGGCAACCAGTTCGCACCGAATTGAGGTTACAACGGGCAGTCTCAACGAAGAATAGCCATCTGCCCAGGAAAGGGTTATATCGCGCGAGTGTATGTGTAAGCACAGATGCACTTTCTATCTGTTCTTGCGCATACACTCATGTATTCCACACATATATATTACCTCACTTTTATAGTGCAATAGGTCGGCAAACCGATACGGAGAGAGATTAGGCGCAGAATCAACGACTTTACATACTTCCCGGGGCACGGGGGTGAACCACAGCCAACTTCCTGACCACGGTCTATTCTTGATAATAACTTGACAGAAAATTCAATAACTGATTTTTTTTCGCTTGACCCGGGATCTGAACCCGGGATCTAATGTTCAGCAGTCGTGCTTACGATCACTAGACTAACAGATAGCCCAGGAGGGCAGGCTATAGATGTGCCTGCCCTACTGGACTATCTGTATATACGTTGACACTCGTGTGCCACTTATTTTACAGCCTCTAGTTATACTCTAGTCATACGTGGTAGAGCCATGTTGCAGCTATATTAATAATGTCCTCCAGACCGAATTTCGGTCACGGCGGCCAGTCTCAGCGGAGACTAGCCATCTGCGCAGGACAGGATTATAGTGCCCAAGTGTATGCGCAAGCACAGGTGCACTCTCTATTCCCTCACTCTCATAGTCCGATGGGACGGTAAACCGACACGACCGGAGAGAGATCAGGCGCAGGACCAACGGCTTTACGTGCTTTCCGAGGCACGGGGGTGAAACACCGCCGGATTCCTGACTCCGGGCAGCTACTGAGAATTTCTTGATGGAAAAACTCAATAACTGATTTTTTTGGCCCGACCCGGGATTCGAACCCGGGACCTCATGATCACCAGTCGCACTACTACAACCACTAGACCAACGAGGCAGCTATATTAGTAGTATAGTTGTAGCACGAATGGGTCGGCTCGACCGGGGAAGGACCACGCTCTCACAGAAAACCAGCGTAAAGTAGCAGTTTAACGCTGATGTGTTTCGTATGGTGAGTGTAGAGAACCGGAGACCCTTTTTACTGGAAAAGAGGCATTCGGTAACGGTTAACAACGCATCTGCATTTTGATTCGTAATCGAAGATAGATGTAGATGTCTATGGGCCACAGCAACCACTTACCATCAGGTGGACTGTGTGCTCGTTTGTCACCCTATACTATAAAAAAAATACTGGATCTTGACATCCTTCAAACAGAACACAGCAATACAAGCGCTGCTATTTGGTGGTAGCAATGGGTAAGTGGGTAGAGGTACCTAACCAGACCAACTCAGGGACAGAAAAGGGGCCCTACTACTTAAAATATTTCATAGGGTTATGGAAAGATTTCAACAATGAGGCAGACACGGCCCATTGTTTCAGTTTAGCACTATAAAATGAATCGCATTGGTGTTTTTTTCTGCCGACTTCCAATAAGGAGACGGTACTCAATTCGACTGTATGTTTTTTTTTTATGTGTGTTACCTCATAACTTTTTACTGGGTGAACCAATTTCCATGATTCTTTTTTTATTTGAAAGCTGGTACTTTTCTTATGGTCCCATATGAATTTGATCAAGGACAGACCAATAGTTTTTGAGTTATTCTTAATAACCTATATTGAAGTCGGCTGTACAAAATTTTTAATTTTTAATTATTTATTATAAATATCTAGATTCGCGACAATTATTTGTTGACGATACGAATACTTGTTTCGTGCGGGATTCGAACTCGCTGCCTTCAGCACCGCATCTCAATGCTAAGCCACCTGAAGCCGTATGATATATTTTGTTTATAGAGTAAGTGTAACAAACGAGCACACAGTCCACCCGATGGTAAGTAGATACTGTGGCCCACAGACACCTACATCTATCCTTAATTAAAAATCAAAATGCAGATGCGTTGTCATCCCTGAGGACTGAGATGGAATGCCTCGTTTCCAGTAAAAAGGGTCTCCCGTTCTCTACACTCACCATACGAAACACAGTAGCATTACGCGGGTATTCTGTGAAAGCGTGTCCCCGGTCGAGCTGACTCATTCATGCTGCAACCATAACATAGGTCCAGCGTGGCTTTACCACGTAAAACATTCTTGTGAGTGTAGTACGAACTGCCATTTTTTTCGTATCTGATATCAAAACTAATACATTCATTGCACACTCATAGTATGAGCTGTTAATGAGGGTTAAGGCTTTTAAGCGTAGTTTTTTTAAAGAATAAGGATGACAAACGAGCACACAGTCCACCTGATGATAAGTAGCCGCTGTGGCCCACAGACATCTACATATTATATATTCGTTTGCGAATTAAAATGCAGATGCGTTGTCAGCCGCGAGGACAAGATAAGAGAGAAGATAGAATGCCTCTTTTCCAGTAAAAAGGGTATCCGGTTCTCTACACTCTCCAAACGAAACACAGCAGCATCAAGCTGCTATTTTAAGCTGGTATTCTGTGAGAGCGTGCTCTTTCCCCGGTCGAGCCGACTCATTAGTGCTACAATTAGATAGTTATATATTATTACAGTTACAGCCTATTAAAGTCCACTGCTGAACATATGCCTCCTCCATAGATTGCCTCATAGAGGGGATATATGCCATAGTTGCCACGCTTGGCAAACGGGTTGACAACCGCAGTTTTTTTTTGTTTTTAGTAGTTATTAGGAAGACGCTGCTGCCCATCTCCTGATTTGTTTCCCGCTGTCGCCTTTTATTAAACGGGTGATATGGATTAGTGGATATTCTTACACTGCCTCTACAGCTACACGGTACATATTATGGAGACAATTCCGTTGTATATCATATAATATCAGGCACTTATTGCGTCTTGTTAACATAATCGTCGTACGCAGTAACACGCATGCGGATGTGTCATGCGTGCAAGAAGCACTTCCGACGTATTACGCACGACCGGTTCAAAAGAACCTTTTGTTTACGTGGTTAATGACCGTAAATTATTTTATATGTGGTTGAGCCACGCTGAAGCTATGTTATGGTTGTAGCACGGATAGCTCGGCTCGACCCGGGATAGAACACGCTTCATCAGAATAGCAGCTTAAAATACCAGTTTAATACTGCTATGTTTCGTATGGTAGCTGTACAATGTAATGGACGCCACTATTATTTGTAATGAGGCATTCAAAGTCTTCATGAGTGACAACGCATCTGCATTTTAAATCTTAAGGCGTTTCCCTGACCAAATAACCTTGAGCATGCAGTGCACTGCCGCCCGCACTCTGCGTACGCCCATTTATAGAATTCACACAATTTTTGGAATTAATTTTAATTAAAAAAGAGCTTTACAAAGAAGGAACTTTACAAATTAAATACAACGTGAATAATATATTTTTAAATTATCTATCCATTAGTGTAATCCTCAAATGATTAGAGCGTTGCCTTTAGCAACAGATGCATGTAATTAATAAGTTTAGACATTTTTAAAATTAGATTTTAAATGTATTTATAACACATAGAAACAAATTAGAACGTGGAATGTGATGATAGGGTATCAAACATTAATAATGTGCTTTTAGATGTAGTTTATTTCTCATAACTAATGAAATAATAGTCTCTGAATAACGAAGAAAAACGCACTATCGCAAGGTTTTGGTTGAGGTATCGCCTTAATAGAAGATAGATGTAGACGAGCCTAAGTAATGTTCTTTTACATTCGTACCTATGTTTACCTATATTATAACTTTGCCTTCTTAGTCCCGTTTTAGTTACTACTTCAAAATGTGTTACTGATTAACCGTGTTTATACGTTACATCGTATAATAGACCCTAGAGTTTTTTAAATGGCCATTAATTTGGTTTATTTTGTGTATCGAACTTGTTGAAAACGCAACATATCTCTATATCTTAATATATAAAAATCCCATGTCACGATGTTCTTTCACACTAATCTCTGTAACCGCAAATCTAAAATGAAACCTTGTAAACGCCTATTGCTTGCTCTATTTAAGAAATAGTATAGTTTTTATTCCGACAAGTGATCCTTGATATTTTTATTGCGAATTTAAGAATTTTTAAAGCATAAATAGCGTAACATACATATAGGATATTAGTTTAAAATTAGGTAGAATTATTC